TTATGAAAGAGAAAGAGAGAGAGAGTTTTATTAATCTTATCGTGTTATAATAAATTCTATTTTCTTCTAATAATTTTATCTCGTAAATTATTATAAAAAGTCATTCACAATGATTATATTCGTATATTCCCTATTCAATTACTGATGTGTAAATCAGAAAAATTTAATATAAGGAGAAATTAAATAATAAATAATGTGTTTAACATTTCTATTTATACACGTGTTTACAATTAGATTTTTAAATAAGTTGTTTTAACTGCAGTAATTACGTAAAATCATCATTAGAAAAGTAGATTTAACACATATAGTTACGGTTGTTTGAACACTGATATCGTGGAAACGTGTTTTGCTAACGGCAAACTCACTGACCTACTACGTATCTTGTCGTGTCAAACAAATTCACCAGAATACACTTGTATAGTTTGAAAATTTTGTCTTATTCTATTATTTTGTTATTTGTTAACACAGAGAGTTTCTCTTTTTTGGATTAAGCACAAAAAATCGAAATTAAATAATAACATAAATTTTGTTAATAAAATAATAAAAGAATTTTCAGGAAATATGTAAAGCAAACATTTATTTGAATAGATTAGTCTATAGTTGTATATACAATATACTATAATGTTCATTATATTTAAATCACTATTATTTTATCAATATATAAATATTTATAAAGTTCGAATTCTTTTCCTTTTGAAAAATCAGTAATCAGCATCGAAGATAATGATACAATGTGCCAAGTATAATGTCATCATCTTTTAGATTTTACTAGTATTACAAACTGCAATATACTGGTATTACAAACTGCAATATTATTGATTTAAATCACCGTAAGTCGACATCGATAAATGTATTTGACCTCTAACGTTTCAAATATCCCATCCATTAACCCTGAAGCCTCTGATCTGCTGCATTAACTGAAGAATGAACGTCATCTAGCGTAGAAATGAAATCCCGTAATTCAAGCCCGTAAGGCAGAACAGTGAAACCGTCGTGTTTCACGTGGCCGTATGAACCAGCGACTGGTTCCGGCTGCGGGTTTGCCAGTCAACAAGGAACCTTCGAGACGATCGAGCATCCTTGACGCGATCAAAGCACGCTATGAGTGCCGGCGTCGAGTCGATCTTGTGCGTGATCCTCGGAGTTTCGGGGATTCTCATGCTGCATCCGGCAAGCAGTATTCCATATCGTGGTAATTACACGGTAAAACATCCGCAATATGATCACTTAGAGCAAAGGATATTCAAAAAGGAAAAAATACTGGATGAAGAAAGTGGGTTGGTGTCGTTAATGGATAATTAGAAGCTTGTTGGACAGTTTAATAAATATGTGAATTGATTTATCTAAATTTAATATCTTATCGTAATATAACGATCTTCAAAGATTAATAGGATTTTTGATTTCTAGTTAGGGATTACTGATATTATGTCATTTCAAAGTGATGTGGTTTTTAATATATTTTTCGGAGATAAATGTAATGCATAAATATTAAAATTTTTTTTTTAAATTCCTCTCTTTTTTTCTTTCTCTGTATTTATTTGTTTTTTAAATGCTTAAATCATTTTTAAAAAAAGAAAAAAAATGAAGAAAATTTGAGTTTATATTAATGTTTACATTAATATTCTATTCTGCAAAAAAATGTAACAAGTATTACAAATTAAAATTTAATTCTTATATAAGAAAATGTAATTACTGTCATTTGTCACATTTAATTCAATTACAACTTCTATTCTATTATAGTGATTTTTACTTTTGCTAAGTAACGTTCAATCATGTTAATTAAGATGCGCCTTTCCATTTGCTATATGTATGTTAACCGTTCTAGTTTTTTTTCTAAGAGAGTTTTTCTAAGAGAAAGTAGATTATATTGTATATAAGAGTACATTAATTATAAAAGAATATTACATTGTTTTGCCAAAGTACAATAGTTAATGGAGAAAATAGATCTCATAAATCAATGAGTTTTAAGCGAAGGGTATATTCTTAGCATTTCAAAATCACGTGATACAAACGTCAAGACGTAACTGATAAACATTTTTGCAAATCCTCATATAATCAGAATATTCTTGTAAAATTTGAAACTTATAATGAAATTTATAATAAGCAAAATAATTATTTCTTTAATGTTATAAAAGTTTTAAAAAGTTATGAAACTTTAAACTTTAATTTACAAAGATTTACAAAGATATTATGTGTATTCTCTGTAATTTAATAAAGAGAAAAGTCACTAAATTTTTATATAATTAATATAAAGAAAGGTTGAATTTAATATAATTAATATAAAGAAAAATTAAAAATTATTTTATAATATGAAAAATGCAAATAATAATCGACATATAGTTTGCAGGATGTCCGTAACAATCAAAAAATGAATCCGTGTTTGAATTCCAAAGACGGAGAGAAAGAAATCTTATTCGCTGAAGCAAATGATAATCATCTTCAGAACACACCCAAAGAATTTTCCTGGGACGATGATGATTACAGAGGTTTTTCTCTATTTGGCCTCGTTGAATCCATGCTGTCCGTCGTAGCAAGCGGACTTAGCACAGTCGTGAGCAGTATTGTTGGTACCGAGAAAAAGGATTCACGGTCAGGTACCAGAAGAATAAATTATAAAAATTATCATTTAATCAGAGCATTTCCTAACACGGAAAATCAAGCTACAGATCTGCGTGACTTAAGAGACGCCGAGCCTGAAGATATTAAATTTTGGTCTTTTCCAAATCCTAATAGGTTTGTGTTTGCATTTTTATTATAATAATTAATTATTTAACATATTTCTATATATATATATATACTTCCTTTTATAGAACTTCTGACATGATTGTGGCACCAGATCTTGTAAATGACGTTAAGGATTATTTAAGGGATAAGAAAATTGACTTTAAAGTATTAATATCAGATATCCAGGTAAAAATGATACAGAACTTTTGCGCAAAAAGTATATAAAAGTACATGAAAAATTAATCTTTTTGTTCATAAAAATACATGTACAAGGTATTTCCAAACGTTTTGTGGCCAGACTTTGAGACTTTATAGGAAATTTAATTCTATATAAAAAGCTTATGTTTACAGAAAACTTTTTGTATAAAATTAAATTTTCTATAAAATCTTAAGGTCTGAGCCAAAACGTTTGAGGACACCTGCGTAGAAAATTTTAATATTATTAATGATAGAAAACACTCAATGACATCGTAATTATACTTTATTAATTTGTACAAAATTGATCTCTCATTATTTATATAATACTTGCAATCGGAAGAAAATTTCGATAACAGCTGATGTCCATATCTAATGCTGACACGCTTTACTTATGATCTTTTCAATGATTTCTTACACTTACGTACAAATAGTAACATGAAAGTAATGAATAAATTATCACCTGTCATATTAAAATGTTGGATCAAAGGTTTTCGTTACTGCATGTGCTAATCGTTATTTAAATGTTGACTGATGGTCAGTGTATGAGAAAAGAGAAATCTTGCTGGTTGCAGACATGATTAATAGACATAATTAAAATGCAAGTTTAAATTAAGTACAGTAAAAATCAAGGAAATGCGCTTTCTTTAATTAACAGAAGACGATCTCTTATCAAAATCCAAAGATGTCTAAAGAACAACGTGAAGACTTGGTTACCGCTCAAGGCCACACAATGACTTGGAAACGTTATCATCGATATGGAGGTAAAATCGTGTTGTAAAATATTTTTACGTTGTACTAAACTATTTTAATATATTTATGTGTTTAATACTAATTTAAAATGTAGTTTAATATTTAGTATCTATCATATTACAATACTAATGCTTTTAATTTTAATGTGATGTACATAAATAATTTTTTCGGATAGATCAATTAATTTTTATTTTACATATGTATACACATAAATAAATAAATGAATTTAATTAAATAACATAATAAATTGGCTTTCTTTTTAACAGATATCGTACGTTATTTAGAACATCTAGCCTTCAGATATCCCACAATAGTAGAATTAATAACTATCGGTCATAGTTACGAGGGCCAACCAATAAAGATGGCAAAGATTTCGACTGGATTAAACAAAGAAGGCGAAAGAAAACCTGCTATTTGGATTGATGCCGGTAAGTTTCTTACAGATAGGCATTTCTTTAATACATATAAGAAAAAGTATTAACTAAAAAATAATTATGAATAAATATATAATAAATAATAAATTATATGTATTAATGTAATAAAAATATTTTCAAAACTTTTCTCTTAATTATTGTTCTTAATAACATCGTAAAAACTTTTTTTATGAACAACTTATGACTATTATAATTATTGTCAACTGTTTCTTTACTGACATCGAACCCGTATGCTTCCCACGTTTTACACATGTCTCGTCCCGTTAGATTATCTTTTCGGTAAATCGTGATCGTCTTTGCAGGCATGCATGGACGAGAATGGATTGGTAGCGCAGTAGCGACCTACATATTGAGTCAGTTGGTAGAGAAGAACTCGAGCTACACGAAATTGTTGAATAACTCGGATTGGATGATTCTGCCGGTTGTTAATCCCGATGGTTATGAATATAGCCATGTCAGCGATCGCTTTTGGCGGAAAACTAGAAGTAATCATGTGGAAAGTCAAAACGATAGTAGGTGAGGAGAGGAAAAAAAAACATTCGCTTTGGCACCCCAATTGTGTGCAGAGGCTTAATTAATCGATTAATGTTAGTAATATTTGCTTGATCTTATTACACTGTCTGATATTCATTTTGTCTTTAACTTGCAAAATCATTTCTGAAATATTTTTTTACTCGGAGTGTAACAGAAATCGATTACGCGTGGTGCACTCTGAAAACACATATTGGCTGAATGATCTTCTAGCAATTGTCGTGCTAACCTCGGAATGTCAAGTGTAAGAAACACAAATCAAAATATAACACTTACTATGTAGTTACATATGATCAAGAGACACTGTGTCTCGCGCCAAAAATGAACACGTAGTGCGCGACAACGCGAGATAGCGTATGCTTAACTTACGTAACTTGGTCAAAAATTGTACAGAAACAAAAAACTTATTTCAAATGTAAAAGATAGCACTTTAATATAAACACACAAAATTGATAAAATAAAATTTCTTTAACTGCAACACCATTCTAATTATGCCCAAAATCGTCATTTTTTCGTCTATATTATTCCAATTTTTTCGGAAATATGACGTGATTTTTCTGAGTATGGATTCAACGGCCAAAAATCTTTGAAAAATAGTAGTCCACATGCCAAAAACAAAAAAAAATTTTGTCGGATAGTGTTATATGTATATCAAGAGCGATATATTATATTTAGAGAAATTGAAAATTAGATAGTGCCGAAAAATGAGATTTTAGATTTTAAGATAAGAACAAAGTTGTCTGGATTGGAAGATATTATTTTATAAAGTTTATTATATAGTCGTATTGTATGTATATCTAATCAATTACGCAACGAAGTAATTTTCTATAAATAATATTGAATAATAATAGAAGACAATAATTAGTTACTCATTTGTAATATTAAAACACTATTGTTTAGTATTGTACTTTTAGCTTTAAATAAGTAATTACTGTTTTTCAGTAATAAATTGGTCAGTATTAACCCAGTAAAAAACACTTTGAAACATTTTAATAACATTGCAGCAACATTAAAACGTTATTGTAGTGTTGCTAAAATGTTTTAAAATGTTTCTTGCTTTTTAGAAGATTAGATTGTTAATCTCTGCAAGGATTAAGAGTTTTGCGTGTGTTTAACTAAAATAGTGTGTGATTTTCTTTTTTAGATACACACCATCAAATTTATTACAATTCGTAACGCACTATACTAGATGGTTCTGGACTACATGCGAAGGAGTCGATCCGAATCGAAATTTTGCATACCACTGGGGCGAAGACAAAGAAGGAAGTGCCAGTTCAGATCCTTGTCACGAAACATATTCTGGGCCTTTCGCCTTTTCCGAACCTGAAACGAAAGCTATGGCAGATTATATTTTGGCAAACAAACAACATATTCGGTAATTGTCAAATCAATTTTATTTAATTAATTTAAATTTACCATTCAAATACATTTTAAATTTCCAATGTAAAAATTTTAATTGTATAATAATACTAAATGCTAAATTTACGTTTTTAGAATGTACTTAACTTTGCATTCTTATTCTCAAATGTGGCTCGTACCATGGGGTTACACGCGTTCGAAACCGTCGGATTATTCCGATTTAATGAACGTAGCGAGAAAGGCAATTAACGCTATTTCGAAAGTTCATGGTACTAATTATCAACTTGGACCAGCAACAGAACTAATGTATCTGACTTCTGGTACATACTTTAATATATTATTATTTTAATTTTAGTATACCTTTAGTATCTTTAGATTGATTTATACGAAAGATTATATTAGTTTAATAAATGGCTGTTATGAAAATCAGACATCAAGATAAGATGATAGTATGCATTTCGTAATATTTCATGTCACAGAGAATGAGTTTCTTTTCTGCTTGCAGGAGCGTCCGACGATTGGGCTAAAGGCGTTGCCTCGATAAAATATGCATACACGGTGGAATTACGCGATCGCGGAACATATGGATTCCTATTACCGGCTACTCAAATAGTTCCAACTGCACGCGAAATTTGGGCAGGAATTCGGGCGATCGCTCGTTTAGTTACTTGCAACACGTGAAATCTATATTTTTTACGCTTCTAATGCGTACTTAGTGTTTGAATGTTCACTTTTTAATCCAGATAACGGAAACTAAATCAATAACCTTTATAAATTACAAGTTGTTTGGATTTTTATCCATTTCTCATTTCTACGCAATAAACATCAATGGTCAGGATAGTTACATATGGCATCTGTATCGAGAAATTAGCACTAGTATTGTTATCGAAATAAATTAATTGAATTATAAGAGATGATAATGAAAGATAAAATTTACATTTAATTAAAAATTCAAAGGATGTACATTATCCGTTAAAATATTATTAATTTTTGAATTAAAATTACAGGAGTGCTGTAATAGATTTTCTGCAAAATTACTTTCTAAATTGATTTTTAGAAAATTTAATTAGTTTAATTTAAATAAAAAATTATATTTTAAGAAATGTTATTATTAAATTGTAAAAATTTGCAACTGCCTTAGATATGTTTATTTTTGTACATTTCTGTTGTAGATTATGTGAAGTATATTTGTATACAAAATTATATAAATTTTATATAATTTTATCAATTTTATGTAGTTTAGTAAAGAGAATGTGTATAATGTAATATGAATGTATCTATTATTTATGTTATTATATAGTAGTATCAAATATTTTTGTACAAATAATAGTGCACTAAGAATCGTCCTACTTTATTTATTAAAACTATCAAGTTATTAGTTTGATTTTTAATTTTAATTTTAATTTGAATGTATTATAAGACACGCGATACAACAAATAAAAATTATTTATACTATTATAAATTACAAATAAAAATTATTTATACTATTAATTTTTATACTATTAATTTTTATAAAGATGGAGATGAATTTCTAGCATAAAATAATTACATGATAAAATCGACTAGTATTAATATACTTGAAGATTAATTGTTAAAAAAAAGTCTTTTTTAAGAGGCAAATCAATGATTAAAAAACAGTCAATGCTTACTTATCTATGCGTTCAAGAAGAAGTTGTGTTATCAAGTTTAATCCAAAATACACGTATACCTTATCACAAGATATTTTCCATTATTTCGTAGTATATAAACCGTAAGATCTTATTCAGTACTTCTGTTGAACTAACATACTGACAATGTTGATTCAGTGTCTTTTAGCCACTGTTCTGGCATTCCATGGTAAGAATACTCATTTTTTTGCACATTCTTATTGTTATATGTATATATTAGGTGTAGTAAAAAGTCATCGCGTATTTTTAAAAGACATCTATCAGTAAAAACCGCAATTACTTTCTTACCAACAATATAAATATATCTTAATAGAGTAAAGTTTCAGCTTTAAAAATCTCTTTTTTAAATTATACGATACGACAATTTTTAATGGAGTTATGAGCAATTAAAGTCAAAATAATTCTTTTATTTAATCCGCGATAACTCAGTAATCAAAAGTCGTAGGAATATTAAAAAAAAACGATTTTGTAGGGAAAGTATCAAGCTTTCACGATAGGTAATCGAAAATTTTCTCAAATTCGTTTTGGACACGTTACAAATCCACAAAGTGAGAAGAAAATTTTTCGTCTTTTTCAGCTCGTAGTTTTTGGTATGTAAAAATTATCAAACTCATATAAACTTAAAAAATGTGATAAGCTTTTAAAAGTAGAAATTTCAAGCTTTAAAACCTTTTTTTTAAATTTGAATTTCATTCATTATTGACGAAGATATTGTATATACAACTTTGAACTAAAAAATACGCGATGACTTTTTACTACACCTAATATAATATTATTTTTTATAAAAATAAAGTTGGTATATTTTAAATTTTTAAATATAATAACAATTAATATACAGGTAGCAAAAATTTTTTTCTAAAATATATATCTAAATATAAATACACTGTGTCTAAGAATTACTGATCTAATAAATAAAACACTTGATATAAAAGATTTCCCTTATTAATTATAAAAATTATAATAATAAAAAATTAAATAAATATCTAGAATATTATGTGCTTTTAAATAAAAGATTTATTTATGAAACAGTTTTATCTAAGCAATAAGAATGACGCTAAATATATTATAAACACTAAAATGAAATCAAACTTTGCAAAAATATAATTATATTTCTAGAATCATGTGTTTAAAATTTTCTTAAACATTTTTATAGCATGTCTGGCCGTCTCTTTCGGCCTGAAACCCAGAATCACAGATGGTGAGAATGCCATACCAGGAGAATTTTCTTATCAGGTCTCTGTTCAATGGGGTTTGCCACCCTCATTACGTTTTAGCCACATTTGTGGTGGTTCGATTGTGCATGAGAGTTTTGTTTTAACTGCGGGACATTGCATTATGACAGAAGGCGAACTTAAGGTCATCGTTGGCAAGTATTATCTTCTTGAAAATGAGGAAACTCAGCAAGAAGTTGAGATTGCTAAGATTTATATCCATGAAAATTATCCAGGGTATGTCTATTATTTTTATTTATAGATAAAAAAATGAATATTTCAGAAACTGGAACTCTACATTAGGAAAAATGTTCTGGTTATACCAACAAGAAGTACGAATAAAACAAATTTTGATCATATAAATCGGAGTTCTAGTTAAATAATGAATTTTTAGATATCTCGATTAGAATGCTTGACAAATTTAAATATACAGAGTGAATCAGTTAAAGTGTTACAAATTTATGTCTCGGAAATAAAGCATTTTAGAGAGAAATAATTTAGACACAAAAATTTTTGTAACTTTGAGAAAAACATAAGATGGTGACATTGGTTTAACTGTGGATAGTTGTATGTGGATCACATAAAGGTCTCTAAAATGCTTTCCGAAATATAAATTTGTAACGCTTTAATCGACTTATTTTATATAAATATTTGATAGTTTTCTGGTTGAATTTACCGGAATTTCAATTAATCCAGCAAGAATTCAGTAAAACTGGAGAAAATATTACACTTTATTGATCACTTTAATTTTACTTATAATTATTATTAGTTCACAGTCCTGAAACACTTTGAATTACGTTGCAGATTCTTCTGATTTCTGAGATATATTACTTTAAAGTTTTTTTACTAAACGATACTAATAATTTATAACCATTTGTTATAAAATCATTTAATATACGCGCGCGCGCGAGTAATTAAAACTTAATTATAAAAATATCATAATGAAAATAATTTCTTATATATATTATTTAAAATGTAATTAATGAATTTATGTGTGTGTGTGTGTGTGCGTGCGCGCGCGCGCGCGTGTGTGTGTGTGTATGTGTAAATGAAAATGTTAATAATTAATCGATACTGTAAAACCATAAATGTAGATTTTCCTAAAATATTCTAAAATATTAGAATTACAATGGTAGATTATATCTAAAACAGTTTTGAAATATGGCAGATAAATATAGATTTAACTGTTTCCAAGAGAATTTATAAAAGTATTTATGTACCTAGATATCATACGCAATCATTTCACAATTCGCAATGTATGTCATGGTTTAAATTATCACTATCCCTTTGATAAATTCTTTGGTATCCGTGTTTTTTAACTGATAATGACTCTAAAACGTGATTACGATATTTTAAATTTTATTATATTGCTTTTTACAGAGGTGTTGCACCATACGACATCGCTCTTCTGAAACTTAAAACTCCTCTCATTTTTAACAAGTGGGTATCCGCTGTCAAATTACCTAAACCAGACGAGGTGCAAGTTGGAAATGCTGTACTGTCTGGATGGGGCTCCGTCTCCAAGACATGGATTCCAAGACTTTCGAACGTTCTTCAAAAAGTTACTGTTCCATTATTAGACAGTAAATCTTGTCAAGATGAGTTCTCGAAAAGTCGTACAACATCGCAACGACTTTACGATTCACAAATCTGCACTGCCGCTATTTATGAAATATCAGCTTGTTCTGTAAATAAAATTTAAACTTTTTATACTTTTTTTTTGTTTTTGCAATTAATTACATAGTACTACGATTATAATTGTGTGATTACAAAAAGAATATTTATTCTCGAATTTATATAATTTCTTAGAGTAAAGTCTCACTTCAAAAGAGTTAGCCTTAAATAAGAGTGGCAGATTTTAATTTTTCTTTTTTGGTATTAGATTTCAAAGGAAAGAAATCTTATTTCTTTTTTTTTAATCCTATTCTAAAAGTGTGAAATCTCCAAAAAAATAATGAAAATCTGTTCCTCTTACTCAAAAGTGCATTGAAGAAAAAAAATCCTAAATTTTAATATTTATTTGAATAATATCAAGTAATATTTATTAAATATTTATTAAATATAAAAATATATATATTTGGTACAAAAAACATTAATTTGATTTAACAATCACTTCTTTTTATTAAAAAAATATTTATTTATTGTAAGTAAATGTTTTGCATTATTCAAATAAATATTTATTTAAATTTTAAGCTATTTTTTTCTGTGTGTAAATTTTTCACTTTTTTTCAATAGAGTGGCAGTTTTAATTTTTTTGAAGAAAGATTTTACTTTAAGAAATGTAGAGAATATTTATCAGTTATTTTGTTAATCTATTGTATTTCAAAACAGCATTAGATTTTAATTTTAATCCATCTAAAAGTATTGTAAAGTTATAATATATAGTGTATATTATATGCACATATTATATAGATATAATTATTACTATTACATGTCTAAATTTGTTATTAGTATTACAACAAAGAGAATTAGATAATTAAATACAAAATATTCTTTTTGTACAATATCTTTAATAATTAAATACTTTTTATATAGGGTGACTCTGGCGGTCCATTGGTCCAATTTAAAAACAACGTTCCCACTCTAGTTGGAATCACTTCATGGGGAGCCTACCCGTGCGGTACCAGTCACATGCCTACGGTCTACACTCGCGTAGCTTCTTACACTATTTGGATTAAAACGATAATATGGATTGTTAGTAATAATTAATATTTTAAATATTATTAATACACAATCTCGTTAAAAAATCAACTTCCGTTATTTAACTAATTAATATACCTACACTTGTCAATATTGTATTCGGACATAATTCTATATTTTATTAAAATATTAAGAGTGTTAATTTATAAATTAAAGAAAAGATTTCTAATAAATAAAATTAGCTAAATAATACTAAGGACAATAATGTTGCATTTTATGATGCTAAAAAAATTGTTAATTTGTTGTTGATAAATAAACAAATTATAATTTATAAATTCTTCATCCGATCCGATATTTAATCCTATATATGATGTAAAAAAAAGAAATAAAAAGCCGAATAGTAACAGTCTAGCTTTTTGTCTATAATTATTATACACTAAAAATTTTAATAAATCCTAGCCAAAGAAAACTTATTGTATTATTTTATTATTTTAGCCTATACTATAATTTTATGTAAATATACAATACAATTAAAAAAATTTAATTCTATAGTATTAATTTTAGTTTTTAATTCAAAGTTTCTTAGATAGATGAAATAAAATAAATTTTTATTAGTGTTGTAAATTAAAATTATAGTTTTGTATATTACAATTAAATTGTACAGTGAATTTAATAAGTAGGATACATTTGTAAATTAGATATTACTAAAGTTAATATTAAAGAAAGGAAACAATTGTAATATGGATATTTTTATTTATCTTCTCTTTTAATAAATATAATCATACGAATATTAATATGTTATCAAAAATATCAAATTTCAATAATCTTTTAAATAATGGAATTACACTAAGATATAAAATAAATAAATGATGATTATGAAAATTATTATAGATTAATAATAGAATAAAATAAATCATGACAACAAATTTTTATTCCCGTAAAACAATAACGAACTTCTGTCTTGATTAAAATTATTCTGTCAACTCTTGCAAATTATTTTTAATATTAATTAAAAATTCATGTTCTGAAATACTATTTCACACAGAATCTAAAACAAGCAAAAAATAAAAAGTATAATTATATATAGAGTGTTGCAGAATTCTAAAGAATTATAAAGCAGAGATGAAATAAATAAAATGTAGTTTTTATTCTATACTACGCTTAACAATAAAAGAGATTAACCGTGAGTATCGTCATATAAAACGTATAATTTCATAGTATTGATTTCATCAGATGCGCTGTCTTTTCTGCGTTCTTAACAAAATGAGAATATTATCTTCAATATTAAGAAATAATTTGATATCGGATAACTTTTTCAATTCAATACTTTTATTACTCTTTATATTCTTATTCTTTCATTATTAATAATCTATCATAAAGCTTTTTATTATCATGATATTAATTTTTCCAAAAAGGAATTTACATCGTATCATTTAAATATTAATATGAGATGTTAACTTAAATATATATTCTTTTTCTCGTGTAAATTAATTTAGTTAATATTTAAATTAAATAAAATTACTTGTATTATTTATGATGTACGATTTAGTAGTTCTACTCACAGCACGGAGTGTTTCATTGAAAACGAACAGAAGAAAGAAATAAAGAAATATTTTGCACAAAGATATTTTAGTCTTTTATGTACATATCCCCTCCATAATTACAATGTTTTTATTCTTTATCTAAACTGTTTATTTGGATTACGTTAGAATATAAAACAGACAATCTCGACAGATAAATAATTAAATAAATAAATCCATTCGATATATCTCATACACTAAATTATTAATTTTCCGCATTCTTTTTATACCTTTTTGTACATTTAATGATTAATCGTAATCAGATAGCAGTAATACAAGTTTATCTACTGAATGATTTATCATAATTAGATTTGCAGCTTAATTAATTGAAGAATATTTTATTATTACTACTTACATAAATGTTATGCTTAATTAGCAGATCGCGACTTAAACAATAACAAAACAAATAATAAAATAGAAGAAAAATTAACCGTATTAATATTTTTCATTATTGTTACATTTGTTAAGTCTTGTTAAATTTAATTCATTTTTAAGTTATAATCAAAATAATAAAAATATGTTTTATTAATTGATTTTTATACATGCATGTCTTAGTTTTATTATTTTATTTATATAGTTATCTTTGTTTGATTTATTAATGGACACTTTTTTCTGTTAAAATCTGATTAAGTTAAGTAAATATATAAATTAAATTTTAAATATAAAATGTAAACATTAAATAATACGTATAATGTATAAGATTAATATATAAGTTGTATTGTTTATTTAAATTAGTTGCGTCAATCGTGCCGTTTAATTAAATATTTATATCAATCATATACACAAAGAAGATCACGTAAGCAATAAAATCCTTCTTATCGTAAACGTATTGTAATTTTCTGTAGATTATGATAAATTATCATCTCATTTTTATTGATAACATGCTATTAAACTCAACGAAATGAGTATAAAATGCAGTCAATTTTGTGGATTAACATCATACAGCGAAATGTTTCCCAAAGCAATCGTGTTCTTTGCTCTCCTAACAGTGGCGATCGCTGGTAAGTCAATTTTCTCGATTTATTTGACATATACATAGAACATTTTATAATATATAGGCATAACTCTAGAAATAAATTCAGAACATAGAAATAACACAAAAAATTCATTTATCTATCTGATCTCATTTCTAAGTTACAGACATTTTCATGTTTTATTAATTCTCGTTATAAAAATTGAGTTTAATATTTTCACATTTTTGTCTTACTAATATAATCAATAAGATACAAAGAAGTGCGAAAATGCTAGGCTAGCTCAATTTATAATGAGAATAGAAGAGCTTGCTAAATTGTTGAAAGGCTATTTCACATTTTGTAAAAACGGAGTATATAAACTCTAAAATTGGAATGGGAAAAATATCAATATCACTTTAACGTTAGAGCTCATTTACGCTGCATTTGCAAAATGCGCGCTAGCCCATTATGGCAGTGAGTTCTTCAATTAACAAAACACGAAAAAGTGTATATATAACTAAAAACAAGATCCGATAGAACTAATGTTTATGAATTTCTTAAGATAATTTTTATGACCTAAATTTATATTTGAAGTCATGCCTACATGATACAAAACATTTTGTATGCGTACATAAAATTTATATATAGTTATTTAAGAAATAAGTACAAAAACAATATATAAAAAATTTTTCTTATTCTCTTAAATATTCTCAAACTAATTCAATAAATAATAATTGAATTACTGTATTGTTCTGAAGATTATAAAACAAACAGCAAAATTCAGTTTTTAATGTATCATTACAATTTCTTCTAACTTATAGAGAACTATTTTTAGCCCCATGTTTTATGATCAATTTTTATTAGATAACAACGGTGTGAAGACTCTTTATATATAACATAAATAAACAAACAAAGTAAACGGCGAAATAAGAGTCAATAAATTATAAAACATTTAATTACAAATATTAAGCGAAGATACATGAAAATTTTTATTATTTTAAGCAAATATATTTCCTTAAATATTATTAATTCAAATTTAAGAGAGGCCCCGAGTTGGTCTCCAGATGCCACAGATTTGGCCACGTTTTGTTGGCCCGATCTCGCCACAAGTGGTTGGAGGTGAAGAAGCGCCGCCAGGATATTATCCATTCATAGTTTCTCTTCAAATGTTTGGCTCTCATTTCTGCGCTGGATCCATCGTAAACGAAAAATGGGTCGTAACAGCAGCTCATTGTGCTGATGCAGTTTCTTCTTTAAAATTTTTTTACGTTAAGGCCGGTAAGCACGATATTGCAGAAAACGAAAGCACCGAACAGATAGTTCAAGTGGCGCAAATTTACATACATGAAAACTATGAACAGTAAGTAAAACGTTAAAGAACAATAAGTACGAATAATTTAATTAACTCCATCTCCGACAAAATTTGAGTTCTTTTGCAACACGAATGTGAGTAATTATTTTCGATATATTTTTACCTGCTGAATACGAATTTGTTGACAAAATTTGGTTGACACATCACAAATATTCCGAGGCATCAAAAAAGGCAAAATATTACAATAATTATTTTGAAGATTTTCATGACGTTTATAACATTGGTAAATTTTTTTCCTAAATTTTATTAATGCTACTTGACTATATCAACTTGGAGCTTCAAAATTTATTATGATTTCTCTTATGATTTTTCACTTTCGAGACATATACAAGCAGATGAGATGATATTACATGGAAAAGAACTATTTCAAAATAATATACTATTTCGAAAATAAAAAATTATTGTATATGTAAAAGAACCAAAATGCATCTTAAAGCTAAAAGTTAACGTTTGGCATTAATGAAATTTTGAAAAAATTTGATACTAATTATATAACTTCTTAAAAATTGTCATTTTTTTCATCTGACATCATTTTTCTCAAAATTGTAACGCGCTAATTAAATTTTGTCAACAAATTTGTATTTAGCAAACAAAAATACGTCAGAAATGACTACTTACATGCGTGTTGTAAATTGATATTAGACAGTGTCCTTATAAGAATAAATATTTATTTGCGATGTGATTCTACTTAGTGACGCAATGTATATGATTTTGATTTACTTTATGTAAATTTTATATTATTATTGTATAAGTTAATATTTTTGATAATCATTGGGCTATTCATTACATACCTAATTAGGCATTTGAATAAAGAAGAACGAACTAAATTGTCAGGAATCATCAACTTGAAAATTTATTTATGTAATTTCGATTTATATGTATATTGATAAGGACTCGAATTGAAAGGTTAAAACATATATTTTATTTGTTTTGTTACATTCACATGAAAAATAAAGAATTTTCTGTGCATTAGAACAGCCGATGTAGGTTTTGATGGGCTTTTTTACATTTTTCATAAATATTTATTTCATGTATAAATAATGTTTTATTTATAATTTACTTGTAAATTTTTTTGTATAGAGAGATAATTTAGATCTATTAGCTAGAATTTATTTAGAGCTATTAGCTAGAAGAGCTACTAGCTAGAAAATAGCTTATAAATTAGTATTCAGAAATTTTATTTGTAGAATAAAAATGCAACAATTAAAACAACTAGAAATGATCTAGTATTGCTATTAATATCATGATTAGCACTTGATATTTACGATTAGATCGCTATATTTCAGATAAACGATGACCTATTAATTCAATCTTAAAATCTTTTACGTTGTAATATTTCTATTTACTGTAGATTATTATTATCATTCCTTCATTAATCACTATAATTTTTCATTATTAGTTTAAAAGCAATGCATTT